ATTTTAAATAGACCATAAGTGAATGATTTAGACGTGAAAAAGAAGGATTTAAAGGCATGATATGATACCTTTAAAGTGTGCTACCACTGGTGGGCAGCGCTAATACAAAAATTAGCTCCTGTAAGAACCTGCTTTATGAGACTAATACCAGCTTAATCTCATAAAAGTCATGTCCCACAAGATCTTGCAGAAGGAAATCAGGAAGTCATGAAATACCCCTCTGGTCATGAATCTGACAAGACCACAAGTTCTTTTCACATTCATGACCAGAGGGGTATTTCATGACTTCCTGATTTCCTTCTGCAAGATCTTGTGGGACATGACTTTTATGAGATTAAGCTGGTATTAGTCTCATGGAGCAGGTTCTTACAAAATGGTGGAGAATGCGGGCATCGATCCCGCTACCTCTCGCATAATTAAACTAATTTTAGTGCGTAATTCTATTACAATTACAGTTCAATAGTTTCTCAATTACCCACAATTTTCCAAAACAAATTGCAAACTTTCTTTTTACAGTCATCTAATTACCATGTTATTATAAAGTGTATACTTAGAAAATTACTATGTAAACTAATTTAGTGATCTTAATAGTACATCAGTTACCCAGCATTTACCAATAAACTACCAATTTAATTTCCATATACAGTAATACTGTATATATACTGGAGTTAGACAATGAAACAGAAACACCTGGTTTTAGAACATAACATCCCTTTCAGACAGCTTCCTCTTGAGTCCACCAATAATCCTGTTGGATGTGGTTGGTCCTTCTTGGTGGTATGCTGATATTACCCTGGATACCGTGGCTCTTGATACATCACAAAGACTTGCTATCTTGGTCACAGATGCACCAGCAAGACGTGCACCAACAATTTGTCCTCTTTTGATCTCTGGTATGTCACCATAATGTCGTGTGCATTGCAATATTTTGAGCCAAACTGCGCTCTGACCCTGCTAATTGAACCTTCACACTCTGCTCTTACTGGTGCAATGTGCAATTAATGAAGACTGGCCACCAGGCTGGTCCAATTTAACCATGAAACCTTCCATACTAAAATGACAGCTGTTTCAGTTTCATTGTCTAACCCCTGTATATAAATATAGTCAATAATTATCCTGCTATTACCAGTAAACTATTGAAACTACTTTTATTGGGTAACTACAATCAAATTACATTTTAAAAGTGCCTCTATTATATACTATTAGTCAAAATAATACAAACCTATAGAAACATGTTCTTAATAAGTAATTACATGTAAATTATTGTAATTACTAAGTAACTGCATAGTAAAATATTATTTATCATGTAAATACTAGGTAATTGCATGATACTTAGGGGACTGTAAAAGAAAGGGTTACCTATGTTTGTAAGGAAATAAACATTTTATGCGTTAAAGACAAATTTTCTGTTTCCTTCCATGATTTTGGCGACTTTCTCTTGAACTTAGTTGATGTCTTGCAATATCTGAAAGGGATTTTGTTGACACTTTTACCAAAAAAAAAAATGCTTAATTTATTGGCTTGGCATATTTCTTTATTTCTTACTGGTCAAAATGATAAATTCCATTTTACTGTAGTTTCAGCTTTGACACAAGTAATGTATCATAACTGATATGAAGACCAAACTCGTGTATTAAAGTTTAACACGAAGCTGGGATTTCAAATTTTAGTTGATATTTTATTCAATTATAAGTGCAAAGAAAGAGGATTTCGTGGTGCGTTTTGATGGACAGGCAGAGCTTTATGACATGCACAGATCATCTAGGAAGGAAGTCCTCAGGAGGAAAGTGGAGGCTTGCTCCCAGTCTTTAATTTAGTTTCAGAAAAGGAGCCTCGCACAGATTTAGTCATTTTGTATCCACAAAAGATTTTTTTTCTCCAAGATGACAAATTTAAATAATCTTCTTTAAATAATCTCCTATTTTTCCCTAAAAAGATATTGTATTTTTAATATATTTGAACTACRCAATATTTTTAGCTTTTTGRGATGAATTATATCATGYTGGTTAYATTCCAAAATCATTAGTTAKGCYACTATGTTAAAAGATAAATTTATATTGTGACTATTAGGTGCATCAAACTATCTTTCTGCATCTGGACCTGTGATGCCTACTGAAACAGAGCAGTATGTTGTCTCACCATGTCCTGTGGCGGGGCAAGTTGTTTAGGTCCAGGATCTYCTTGACAGACATCAAATCAGCAGGAATGACAGGATACAAACCGGCATAGGAGGCTTCCTCATCACTAGGCATTCAGAACATGTTGTGGAGGAAAGAAAACAATCTGATCAACACACACCTTGCATATCGCCAAACGACACAAGTAAGATAAGAGAACAGAGATCTGCTTTCATCATCCTTCAACGTTATTTATTCTGGTAATTGAGAAAATACGTGCTCCCATTAGCACGCCTTTTTATTTTGTCATGGATTAGGGCACATTATCTAATCTATTCAAAGGATCATTATTCTCCTCTGCCACTTGAAAGCAGCACCATCTCCAATTTTCTGCGAGCAGCAGAACAGGGCGTACATCAGAATGAGCTCTGCTCATGTCGATGTACGTTAACGTACACGAGGAGTCGTGTCGAACACTTTAGGGATTCAGCCAACTATGTGAAGAAGACAACTCTAATGGGTATTTTCTGTTTTGTCATGAGAAGTACTAGCAAGATAAATGGTGACTTAAAGAAAAACAACAATACAAGTAATATGAAACTTAGAAACCCATTTCTGAAAAGCGATCTCAGTATTTGTCAGGCTGATTCTCTGTGTCAGGCTGCAGAGCCAAAACCTAAATGTGGTTCCTTGTGTGCCACAGAGGGTTTGTCTCTGGTTAGTGGAAAGTCCTGTAGTCCTGAATAAAATATTGTTCTTGGTATTTGCATATGCAGCACTTATTTGTGCAGGAAAATAAATTTGTTGTGTGCAGATGATTTTCAGTTCTGCTGTGGCTGCCATGTCCAAAGAGCCCTTTTTTAAAATCAAGCATGAGTTTGGACATGAGTAAATCAAAACCCCTTTGAGCATTTTGGAATACAAAATCACTTCAACTTTCAACTTCACCCATGTAGAGTTTCTTTGGGGCACAGTTGTGTTATAAGGTGGGCTGGCCGGGCGTCCTGTGCGGCCCGGACCAGGCCTTGGCTATCTGCTCCTCTCCACCTCAGAATGATTGGGTCTACCTCCAGGGTTTGGGTGTGTGCTGCCTTCAATAGGGGGTGGGTGCATGTCCTGGACCTGGGGGGTATAGAGTGTGTATCGTGGGTGTGAGTGGAATGTGGCGTCCTTGTATGTCTTTGAGAGGGGGTGAGGATGAGGGTGGGATGGTGCGATTGTGTATGTTTGGGTATTTGTAAGGCTGCGGTCTGGGCTGCCCCTCCTGCT